GTACGTGGCTTTGGCTCGTCAGCAGCACTGCCCCCACTCGCTTCCTCGTCTGCCTCTTTCTTAAGCCTAGCAGCAACGCTCTGATACCACGTCTCCATAGCATCGTCGGGCTTTTCGGGAAAACATTCCTTGGGTAGTATTTTGGGAAAGATATTGCCAGTTTCTGGGTCTGGTATATCGTCTATTTCGACGGCCCTCTGTAGAAAAGGTACATGCTCTTCTGGCCCCAGCAAGAGTTGTATTGTCTGCCATGTCACAAAGCCGTTCTTCTTGAGCGCGGGTATGGTAGGGCTCGAGTAGCCGTCGTCGTGTGGCCCTGGCTGTAGGCTGTGGTATGCGCCTAGTGAGCGATATATGAATGCGACTGATGATGGCGGTGTATCTGTGAATAGCACGTCGTAATCGCCCCCAACACTACGGTACCAGGCTGCGATCTGCGACGGCGTGAGATCAGGCGAGTCGCCTGGCTCGAACTTCTTGCTCTGCAGCGACACATCAGCTTGACGTCTCCCAGTTATCTCTGAAGCTGCACTCAACTCACAATGACCTCAGCGATGCCCTTGAGCAGGCGATCTAGTAAATCGGTGCCGCATTTGTCCTCCTTGAAAAGGTAACCCCAGTAGTCATATGCTTCCCGATGCGCCGCATCCGCTTGCGCTATGTTGGCCGCGCGCTCTTCCTGGTGCTCTTTCGGTGATATCGGTTCGGGAGCCATTTCGTTGATGTGTAAGGACAACCGCTTTGAACGAGGTCAGGCATATATATCTTCTTCGGCTCGATGCTCGGAGCTGATGCTCGTCAGGGTACCGTGAACCCCGCTGCGTGCGACGCGGGAATGCAGGCGTGTACAACGCGCCAGCGTCAGGAAGCCACGGCTGCTTATATCAAGAGCTGTTCGCCGCTATCAGCAGGCATCATCGCTATGCAACAGGCAGATGACTGGCCGACTGCGCCTCTGCGCTGCGCAGGAACCGGTAGAAATGGTGGGGGTTGTTGTTCGCGGGTTGGCTGCGTGGCTGGTGACATTCTGACATCACCGCGGTAGGGCCGCAAGGCTGAGATGGCGTGAGGCCGCAATCAGGCACCATTTCTTGGAAGTATAACTGCAGACATCGGTCACCCCAATGCTGTTGGGATGATCCAGGCTTGTTAGGTGCGCGGGAACAGCGGACTACTAAACGAGATGAAACTAGCTCCAAACAGCCTACAAGGGCGAAATGCATGACCAAATAATGTTGATGATGGATTATATATTGTATTCAAGATGCATTTTGTCTATGATGATGTGTGAATCATTGACCGGGCGTGAATATTACACCCCATTACCGCCTGAGTCCTTTTGCCCAAGCACGTTGCAATGCAGTCATCTCTCGTTATCAATCGCTACAAGAAGACCTGTATCCTCAAAAAAATCTATAAACCCGTGAAGAAAATGCCGCCTCAACCACTCTAGTGCTCAAGCAATCTGAGCGAACCCTGGACGACGACGTTCTCGAGGATGGAACCCGGAGGGATGTCGATAGTGGAGCCCTCAGTCGCAACGATGATGACGGTACCCTTGAGGGTAACGCCACGGCCAAGGTTGACCGGACCGGTAATGGTCAGATGGTCAAGCTCGACAATCTTGGGAATGGAGGGAATACGGGACTGGAAGCTGGACACCTTCTTGAAATCGCTGCCGAGCTTGATCAAGGGGGCGGGTCCGAAGCGGTTGGGGTCGATCACTAGCTGACCGTGCTGGAGTGTGTAAAGATCAGACTTGACAAGCATGAGGTCGGAGCAGGTCTTGACGGGCAAGAAACGCTTTCGGGGTACGTTGACACCGTGTGCGTTCTTGAAGTGCTTGATAGCAGCACCAACAGCTGTCTCGAGCTGGAGGACTGAGATGTCGGCCTCGCCCTTCTTGTCGGCAGGGATGGACTTGCCGTTGGGGATGATCTCCATGGCAAGCTCGTTAGCCTCAACAACACGCTTGATGGCCGCGAGGTTCATCCAGATGTTGTTGGTGTTGAAGTACTTGAACTTCTTGATCGACTTGAACTCGTTGACGTGCTCCTTGGGAACCTGGGCGATTTCAAGCAGACGAACGGAGCCCTCGTAGTCAATGATGGTACCACCCTTGACATCAGCCTTGGTCTTGTCGGTCAACTCCATGATGTACTCCGCCTGGGAGTCAACCATGTGCTGGAGGATGCGGAGGTCGACAACAGCACCCAGGTTGTCGGCGTTGGAGAGGAAAATGTACTCAATACCGCGGTCCATGAGCTTGTCGATCATGCCAGTGTTGTAGAGAGACTCGAAAACGTCACCGTGGCCAGGGGGGTACCAGTTGGCGATGTCTGACTTGTTCTCCTTAGGAGCAGGCAGGAGCGAGTCCTTGAGGATACGGGGGTATCTCGACTGGTTGAAGGTGAGGATGTCAATGTTGTGTCCCTCGTACTTCTTGATGATGCTGGCGGTGTCGGTGTCGGTGTTGAACGAGTTCATCAGCACGAATGGGACGTTGACGTCGTATGTGCGGTTCAGGTACTCGATTTGGCGCACTGACAAGTCCAAGAAGGACATACCGTCACGGACCTCGATGACGGACTTGGGGCCAACGCAACCCATGGAGGTACCGAGACCACCGTTAAGCTTAACGACCGCCAACTTGTTCAGGTATTCGACAGCCTCGGTGTTGGCCAAGTCATCGTAGCTGACGACCTGCTCGGCCTTGGGAGGAGCGATGCGGTTCCAGTCAATGGCAGTACCCTTGGCCTTGTCATTGAGGTATCGTCGGAACAGAGCGAAGAAGTTGTCCATTTCCGTCTCGAAGTACTATAGTGGGTCAGTATACGCTCAGAATGACGTATTTCCCAAATTCCCCTCCCAAACACGCCGATAGCTTGTGGCTGTGGGCATTGGCCTGAGCAAGTATATCGCGATGCTTGGGCGGCGAACGAAGATTGGAAAGGTGCAGAAGAATTGTGACTGACCTTCTTCTCGGCGGGGTCGGTGACGGTGTCGGCGAGCTTGTTGAGCGCATTGCGCATTTGCGAGGCGGCAACATTGGTAGATGTGTTCTCGAAAGCCTGGAAGATTGATTGTTAGTCGATTGAGAACAAATTCGAGCTACGTTGAAGCTATTGAGAGTGTAGGTGCTGTTGTTACCACGACATCGCAGCCGCGGGGAGCAGGCGATGAGAACGCAGGGACAACCCTCCAGAATAGGAGCGAACATCATCTTTGACGAATCGCCTGATCTACTCGAGGGAAAAACGTATCGAAACATGGCTAGGCGGGGTGCTGCAACCCCAGCAATCAGTGCCAGCTCAATGCCAGCCTCCTTCGGTACCCACTATACCCAAGCCAGGGTATCTGGTAGCGGTGAGGACTGCTGCATCGGCTTTTGCAGCAACGAAACGAATCGAAGAAATCAGGGATGAAAAAGCAAGATACAGGCTGGTAAGCCGCAGAAATAGAGAGAAGGTACTTACCACATGGGACTGTGACTTGCCGTGATGGCGCTGGGATGAGAAGCCACCCTCGCCGCCCTCAGCAGCAGAGGGCTTCAAGTGAGAAGGAATCGCGCGAGATGCCATTGTGTAAGTGAGAGAGAGAAAAGGCTGTTCCGTGAGGAGAGAGTGGTGTAGAGAACAACAAGTGTTGGGGAGCTGGTCTCCTTAAAGGCAATGGGTCGCGCTTGGCGTTGAACGTGGGGCAAGTCGAGAACAAGCTATGGCCTGGTAACGAGAACAGGCTTGGGGTTTCGATGGGGATAGTGAAGAGACGGTGTGAATTTGCCTTTTATACATGCATGTTATTGCCGCGAGCGCACCAGAAGGGCAGTTTCGAGCGTAGCATCTCTGCATGGCAACGGCGACGCCGCCAATAGTTCTTGCACACGACGAGATTCTGATACTTGATTTCACACCATCATTGCAGCCATTACACTTGTTTCACAGTGGATTTTCCAGTTGCAGTATCGGACTACACCCTCGGGATTCGCTCACCCACGTCTTCCGCTAGGTCTTTCACCACATCTTCCAATTGCACTCCCTCCTTCCTTTACAAGGCCTCGTCTTGCGACGCTCCTCCCCAACCTCCCGTATCCGCCCGAGTCAAGAGCGACTATCGAATGGCTGCGCGGCCGCCTATCTGCTCAACCTCACGATGCACAATTGTTGAATAACTTTTCGGAGAGCTATGTCGATAAATTGAAAAGCCCCTCATCTGGCCGCGGCACTAGCAGGGGTATGCAGTAAACCTGACGTTGCCCCGAGACCGCTATTCCGACTTGCTCCCAGTGCTCCCCAACAGACTTCCCCAGCTTGCAGCCATGTTACAATTTTTCCGCAGTGGCAAATGTGCAATGCAACGCGGAGGCGAATACAGTGGGGAACCGGATGAATGAGGACTCCCAAGATCTACGCGTGAGCAGCGGCTCCAAGTGAAAGTCGTGGCTGCAATAGTGGCGCAGGTACACGTCTGATGTGGCTTTGAACCACGTGGGGGATCTACTACTAGTCGGTGTATTCATACAACAACGATGCCCATGTCAGACGGCAGCCTCAATAACGCCTATCTCCACCGTAAATTTCAGTATCGGAAACTCGTCAAGCCTCTGTAGTGGCTTGATTTGTGATGTATCAATACTAATGACCAATCAATTACATTGCGCTCAAACAAGAATGATATCAGTCAAGCACACAATCACTTTGTCTAGGGATACCCGCGATACCGAGAACCAAGATGGCAGTGAGCTTCTAACATGCTTAGACGCTTGGCAGTTCCCAAGTACATGTCGCAGGTGTAAGACAGGGACAATTATTGGAAGTGGAGACTGAATCGGTACCGGCTGCGCTAACGGACCTATCCCCTAGCCCAAGTCAGGAACAGACATCCTTAGCTGTTGCTCTAGCTGTTCCTGTGGCTTGCGTCTGGGAAAACTTGCAGACATTTCCATGGCTGGAGCGATGATTTGACCCACTACGGCAGTCCACTAGTAATACAGCTTCGCCCTAGTTCGACCGTACTGGTCGTGTTACTTCGACGGCGGGTGCGTCTGCAAAAGGCACAGCATGAGGCTTTTCGATCCTCAGCTTGATCCATGCGCTCTGGTCTACTTCTTGCGTGAAGAACTTTTGTCTAAGTTCTTCAACCAGCCACGCTAGTAGGCTCTCAATAGTTTGGAAAGTAGACCCGGATATCAACTACGTCGGTCAGTTAGTGTGGACTTATATGTTTTGTTGTGCTTACCTCAAACAAGAGGGCCTCCAATTGGGGGTAGTCTTCAACACGAGAGTCATGTATGTTGTCAACCCACACGTTGAGGACTACGGGCTGCTTCTGCAACCTCTCATTGGCGTTGACACCAATCAAGCATGGGATGCGGACGTCGCGCAGATACAGTACGTTCGAACGGGTGCCAGTTCCTTCAATGCGAGACGTAATGTGTCCAGCGCCTTCGCCGAACATGCTGCCTTTCATGTAACATATGTTCGTTTCGATCGCATATATGTCTGTCGAGCCTGCGACGTCGCGTACACTTTTAGAGACAGCAGCCGAGAGAGCGGCAGTTGACATCCAGGCCATGGTGTCATCTTTAAAGCGTGCTTGTATGGCCTTGCTGAGCGTACCATAGTGAACTGTACTATCATCGACAGAATCCGTAGAAGAAGCCGATGTGAACTGCTTCCCCAGTGTCAACGTGACGCTGATCAAGGCGCGCTGCTTCTTCTGGCGCCCCCAGACGTCTTTGCCTGCATTCACAACAACCTCTAGATTCTGGACCATGATCTTGTCATGATGTCCACTTGAAGCAGCCTCAGCACTCCACTGGGCCTGGCAAACGAGTTGGCTCATGATGGAATTTCGGCTGATGAACTTGGACGAAGAAATTGATAGGCTGGAGAAGAGATGGACTGTATCTTGGAAATGAACTAACTGTGGCCTCAGATTCTTCCAGGTGCGAACTTGTTGAGAAAGTTAGTATGAACACCCGCGTAGTCACGCATCAGCTTTTGCAGACGACAAAACGCGTAGAAAAGGCAAAAGCTTGCAGTCGGCCGCAAGATTTCGTCATTGTCTCCAAAGGCTAAACAAAGCAGTCGCGTAGAAGGTGAAAGAAGGGCGCACAGGAGGGGCTGAACGAGGGCTGAAATGGTACTCACCAAGCTGAAAGTGAGATGCGTGAGGCTCGTGGTGGGGTATATGACGAGCCCTGTAGACGGCTGCCCGCACGGACGCCTTTCCCAAGCAGAGCTCCGCAATCGAACATTCTAGCTACACATCAAACTATAATTCAGAGCCTGTCCCTCATACGCGCGGTGTACCAAGCAGATTCGCAGTCACATTCCCGAATCACCCTAAATCGAAAATACCTTCAACATGGCGGACGCACTAAAAGCAGAGGGAAACAAGCTCTTCGCTGAGAAGAAGTTCGCCGAGTCCATGTAGGGTCCCCCGCAAATGCTGCCTAGCGACAGTTTACTAACAAACTCCAGCGAGAAGTTCTCACAGGCAATCGAGCTCGACCCCTCAAATCACGTCCTATACTCGAACCGATCAGGCGCATATGCCTCGTTAAAAGACTGGCAGAAGGCGCTCGAGGATGCGAACAAGGTGACGGAGATCAAGCCAGACTGGGCCAAGGGCTGGGGTCGCAAGGGAACGGCGCTACACGGCGAAGGTGACTTGGGTACGTGTGGATCCCATCTATGAGAGAATGTTGCTGACTCCCGATAGTGGCAGCCACAGAGGCCTTTGAGGAGGCACTCAAGCTCGACCCAAGCAATGCTCAAGCAAAGTCCGGTCTCGATGCTGTCAAGCGCGCAGTCGAGGCAGAGGCGAACGACAGCGGTGCAGGCCTCGGTGGCATGTTCAGCGACCCTAACATGATCCAAAAGCTCGCCGCGAATCCCAAGACGGCCGCTCTCCTCGGCGATGCAGAGTTCATGAGCAAGCTCCAGCAGCTACAGAAGAACCCCAACATGGCTGGCGCCTTCATGCAGGATCCCCGCTTCCTCCAAGTTATGAGCGTCCTGCTAGGCATTGACATGTCGTTCGGTCAGGGACCCGGTGCTGGAGGCGCAGGCGATGCAGGCGCTAAAGAAGCCGAAGAGGACGTCGAGATGCCCGATGCACGACCAGCTCCCAGCCAACCCAAGAAGGAGCCAGAGCCAGAGCCAGAGCCAGAGCCGGTAGAAGAGTCTGAGGAGGACAAGGCTGCGAAGAAGGCAAAGGCCGAGGCCGACGAGCTGAAGAAGAAGGGAACCGAGTTCTACAAGAAACGACAATTCGACGAGGCTATTGAGAACTACAACAAGGCCTGGGAAACACGCAAGGACATCACATACAAGACCAACCTTGGAGCTGCCAAGTTCGAGAAGGGCGACTACGAAGGCTGCATTCAGGCTTGTAATGAGGCTGTCGAGTATGGTCGCGAGATCCTTGCCGACTTCAAGATCATTGCCAAGTATGTCACATTGTGTCTTGCAATGATTATGCGCTAACACTATGCAGGGCCTTTGCACGCATCGGTACCGCCTACGAGAAGATGGGTGACCTTGGCAACGCAATCACGTACTACCAAAAGGCACAAACCGAACACCGCACACCCGAAGTCCTTGCAAAGCTCCGTGCTGCAGAGAAAGCCAAGGTCATCAAGGAGAGGGAGTCATACATCAACCCTGAAGAGGCTGAGAAGGCGCGCGAGCTCGGTAATGCCAAATTCAAGGAGTCCAACTGGCCAGAGGCCGTGGAGGCATACTCGGAGATGATAAAGCGCGCACCGGACGACCCAAGAGGATACTCTAACCGCGCCGCCTGTTTCATCAAGCTGCTTGAGTTCCCATCGGCAGTACAGGACTGTGACGAGGCTATCAAGCGCGACCCCGACTTCATCCGGGCATACCTGCGGAAAGCCCAGGCATACTTCACCATGCGCGAGTACAACAAATGTATCAACGTCTGCGCAGAAGCCATGGAACACGACAAGGATGGCAAGAACGCACGGGAGATTCAACAACAAGAGTCCAAGGCTCTGCAAGCACAATACTCTGCACGCGAGGGCGAGACTGAGCAGCAGACCATGGAGCGTATTCAGCGTGATCCTGAGGTACGTCTTATCCAACTCGCAAACTATGCCCTTGTACTAACATATCTTAGATTGTCGGCATTTTACAAGATCCGGTTATGCAGGCCATTCTTCAACAGGCTAAGGACGACCCTGCGGCTCTGCAAGAGCACCTGAAGAACCCAAGCATTCGTTCCAAGATCCAGAAGCTGGTGCACGCCGGTGTCATCAGGATGGGACGATAGACTTTCATGAGTGGTCAATGTGACGATGCATGATTCACATTTTGTATGTTTATATGGGTCCTTTCTATCTGCATAGCGTATAGGTAATGAAACATTTACGATTTCTCTCTTCACACTTGATCTCTGTCTCATGGCTTGACGGCGTATATCTTGAAGGATGCTATGACCCAGTTAGTTGCTGTCGGACGAATAGATCCCCTCACTTACTTACCAGCCCATTCATTCAAATCAACATCCTGGAGCTCTCTTCTCATGTCCTCCGCCACACCTCCGTCTCCACCACAGCACGACCGTGGCTCTACGCCGAGGTCTTTCTCGCCCTTGTAAATGTTCAAATCGCCACCCGCCTCCGCAACAATTGACTCTTTGAACCCCGCTTCCTCCAGCCACCCCTCGTACTCCTCCTTCTTACTCGCTCCTGCTACGCACCCTACAAGCAACGCTACGTTGTTCTTCAGATTCTCTGGCAGATCTTTCTTCAGTAGAATATCTGATATGGCTACCCGACCACCTGGCTTGAGCAATCGATACATCTCCTTGAAGACTAGATGCTTGGAGACTTTAGGAACGAGATTTATCACGCAATTCGACGTCATGACGTCAGCGGTGGAACTCTCGAGCTGGGGGATGGATGTAATAAGAGATTGTATGAAGTCGGTGTTGAGTGTACCTGATTTATCGGCATTGAGACGCGCTTTCTGAAGCATGTGCTATGTCGAACTTGTTAATCTTCGTCACTCTTCTCATGTCACTCGAACGATGGAAACACGAACCTCGTTCATATCTATACCAATAGCCTTTCCCGTTTCTCCTACCCTCTTTGCAGCAAGGAAAACGTCGAAACCTGCTCCACAGCCTAGATCAATGACCGTCTCACCCTCTTTCAGATTCGCTAATGCGAGTGGGTTTCCACAGCTCAGACCGATGTTTGAATCCGTAGGGATGGAAGAAAGTTCGGCCTGTGTGTAGCCGAATGTGCGAGCAACGGCGGATGCATTATTAGTGCTTGGGCTTTTGGATAGTGCAGTGGCGGTGTAGCGTGCGTGGATGGTTGAGTATGTTGGATCTAGGTCTGAGGTCATGATCGGATTTGATTGCTTGAGTTTGAATGGAATTAAGGGAAGATATGCTTAGTTGGTCCTTGCTCGGGTAGGTAGATAGACTGAGGATAGCAGTAACGGCTTCGGTAGGTTGTAAATTATTGATATAGAAACCTAGTCGGTATGTCACTCAAATGGAGTGATATGTCATTTGAATATTGGGTAAGCGGCTTTACCCCGCACATCGTTGTATTACGCATATTCGTTGGTCTCGCCCATCTTTTTGTTAGATTAGGCAACCAGGCAATGATTGTGTGAGTTGGCATAAAGTATTGTAGGCATGAGGTATTGTATCGCTTAGTGCAAAAGAAAAACGAGACGAGTGGTAGCACTGCTATCATTCCAATATTTCATAAATACAAAATGAAAAGAGACCTACATCTGGAACCACACTCCTGCGTCGATAGGCACCGATAGTCTATACTGCTGCAAGAGAGCCCCATCGTACACGTCATGCCAAATTCTAGTCCGGTGTCTAAGTCTCGACAGGAAACCATCTTCATAACCAACGTCGAACCCTACAATCCGCTGATAAAATCCAACAACCTCATCAACGCCCCGTTTTCAACCCTACATCCCTCACCTTCCCTTTGCGCTCGTCTCAGTCCCTGCGCCAACCAAAGTCGAATGGTATCCGGATCTAGATTCCTAAAGTTTTGCTGCCCAATCATAACAAATGCCTGAGCGCACAGCGTAGTGCTCTCTGATGGATCGGGTGGAGGTTTAGTCTTGCAAGACGAGCACTCCAAGTCATTAGTCGAATTCGATAACGGTAATGGGTCGCTACAACATGGTGGTGGGCCGGTGGTAGTGTTGTCGCTGGAGATGATGTTAAGGTCCTGTGACGGAATGGCCAAGAGCGAAGTTGTAGGCGAGGTATTCGACGACAGATAGAAGGATGAATCGCCAAGGAAGGAAAGGTCTGGAATGGGGACATCAGGGTAGGCCAGCTGCGGGTCGATGTCGGCTCCTGGTTGGACGGTGAGGGCTAGCGAGTTTTGCTGGCTGGATGGTGCTGGGCATGGTATTTCTTGCAGTCCAGAGCTCCCTTCCTCTTCATATCTTACTCCTCGCGCCGCTTTTTCGATTTGATCGTCGTTGGTTTGCTGTTGTGAGTTGGTGGCCGATTGTCCTTTTAGCACGGCGATTTCCGCCCTTGCCTCCGCAAGCAGTTTCTCAGTCTCTGCAAGCTTTTGCTCAAGAGAGGCGACGTGGTCTCGCTGTCGGGCCCGATGTCTCCTCTGGTTCTCGCGCACTCTGTTCAATGTGTGCTCAGCCGACACGCGTGACCGCCGGCTCCTGGGAGCTGCGGTATCGGAGGTTTGTTCCGACGACGAAGTTGCTGGGGAAGTCACCATTTTCGCTGCAGAGATACTGATGGGTGAATGTGATTATACAGCTGTCTTCTGAAGATTGCGCACAGCGGTGCAGGTGCATCTTCGAGAAGGTGCCTGGGTGGAGTTGAGGCAGCGGTTGTAGGAGCTTGGCGGTGACATATCGACGAGGCTCCTCCGCGATTGGTTCGCGGCGACCTGAAACATCATCGCAGACGTTCGACATTAAGCCTTGTAACAAAATTGGGCCTATGCACCGCAACGGTTATTTCTTTTAACACAACCTTCATATCTGATTAAGGCTCGTTTCGACTACGTTGGGTATTACGTGTATAGGTCATTCCATCTTGACAAGCTTCTACAGCCTTGTAACGACGAATGTGCTTGAAACATGCTCATCTTCAACGTGATCTGTCAACATCAGACCAAACCCCGCAAAAACAGCTTGATGCGATGATCCATCCAGTCCACATCTTTCGGGTTCGCCCCGCCACCTCCAATATGTCCCCAGATACTCGGGATAATCTCCACCGTTACATCTTCCAAACTCTTGGCTTCTCTCTCGCTGACATATGGCCGGAAATACTGGTCTGTTTCACAGGGCATCAGCAAAACCTTTGCCTTGATACCTTTTAGTGCCGACTCAAGGTCTCCTGCTTTGGTGCATCGAGTCATGTCCCCACGCTGCCACATTCCCAACATAACCTTGAGATCGTCACCACTCCAGCTTTCATAGCCTTGTATCGTGACGTTGTCGTCCCAGTCCCGCAGTTGCTGGAAGCCCATTGCTTTGTAACATTCTTCATCGAACCATTCGGCGCTTGTTAACCATGCCGAGTACGCTTTTGCGAATGCCCTACGACCCGTTTCGGGGCTCTTTGCATTCTCCAGTGCTGCTTTTGGCCCCTCGAGGAATTGGTAGTTGTGTCTGCTTGTTTGGGCCGATGAGCAGACGATTACGGCGTGCTTGACGAAATCAGGATGGGCAGTTATCCAATGATAAGTGATCTGGCCCCCCATCGAGAATCCTAGCATGACGTCCACTTCTTTGATACCAAGTTCTTGGGTAAGGAGAGGGTACTGAGCGTTGATGCAATCCATGTATTCGATGGTACTGGGAAAGCTGGGCGTGTTTGACGGACTAGAAGATTCGCCATTGCCAAGAAGGGCGATGAGGATGATCTTATGGTTCTTCAGAGCGGCGTCGGCGTGCGTGAGGGTTGTGTCAATACGACCCTTGAAGCACGTGTGAACAACTGCTATCTTGCTGTTGTGCGGGTTGAGGATCTTGTAAGCCACTTTGAGTTTTGGTAGTGTAGAGCCATTTTGGAACTTAAAGTCGGATATCTCGTAAATTTGGAGGGGTTCAGAGCTGGCTTGAGACGACATTTTAGTGATGCAATGGAAGAGACGGCTGAGAATATGGGGATGAGGGGATTCTGAAGTATCGCGGGGAGTTTTAGGAGGGGTTGTGTTCAGAAGCAACGATGTATGAACTTATGACGATGGTATGGGGCTTGCTTCCGTCATTGCCGTAACGTAGAGCCCCACCTGCGGCTCTTGAAGACGACGATCAAGTGTTGGTTGAACTCAAATGTGTAGTCAACCAAACACCGGCCAACAACGGCTCACACATTATACGGTGGTGGGAGCATTGAAGCGTAGAATCGCACTGGTGATGATGGAGAAGGATATTGTCTTTCTCAAGGCGATATCTGCCCTAGCAGCATGGGCATGCGTCGCCTGTAGACTTCCAAGGTTGTCCATGGTAGCATGGTCAGATATCGCAAAAGTCTGCTAAGGTCTCATTGTTGTCGTCCCTACTTCGGGACGCGCCACCAACCGGCTTGTAATTGGAATGATGAGCGCTCATTTCAATCCTACAGTCGGCTCACCACTGCATATCGCTAAAGGACATGTGGCCAATAAGCGGCGATCAAGGCCGCTAGCGGGAAAAGTAAGCACCGGGTGTTCAATTATACCGCAAAATGCGCGAAGAACCATCTCTTCTTCGGCTTCATCGAGGCTACAAGAGTCGGCTCTGGACATGCGCAAGCTCTTGCGGTACTGCTGTTGATATGCGCTTGCGGAAGGCAAAGTCGTCCGTTCCGAGTATATTTAGACGTGCTGGGTACGCCAGGTGTCACAGCCGAGGCGATGAAGTAGGCTAAGGGATCGGCATCCCTGCCACGCCTTATCAACTCCACGCTTTGGAGCGGCCGCTGTGTTGTTTCGGGCATAGTCCATGCTGTGGTCTTCCGTTTTAGGAGAGACTCAATAGCCCTACAAGCGAGGTATGGTTGAGCGGTTAGGTGTTTGCTGTTGTTGTCGCCATTGCACTTTAGGGGGGTGGTTGAGACGGTGTGCACATGGAGAGAAGAGTGAAACACATGCCACGCACGTCATGACGATCTTGACAAGCTGGGGCCCACGATCTACGCAAGTAAGACGGTTGGGCAGGAGAGGAGCGGGCGGTGTTGATGGTGAGTTGCTGGTGAACGACTAGCTAAGGGGTACATGTTGGATATGCAAGACGCAACAAAGGTAAATTTGAGCCGCAATCAGGCTATGGTAGTTTGGCGCCAAGAGGGGAGACTTGTCGAGTGAAAGCGTGAATGTAGGACCGAGTGCCCGCCGCACGGGCGTGATCTGGTGGGCTGAATGTGGGGTGTGTCGACGTTGGCGCTCCGAACACGAGACATTTCGAGGCCGTCGTTTTCAAGCGCAACCCAAGGTTAGTCAAGAGTGCAATTTCGCAGTACGGCTGTACGACAATCTTGCTCGTGTAGAGAAAGCCCGAGGCTCCAGGCGCAAAAGGAGCTTAGGATACCGCTGCAGGCTTGCAACGATAAGCGGGCGGCGCGCAATTAGCTTCGACCCTGGCAATTTAGCTGATAAACTACTCCGCAACTACAGCGGCGGTTCCACGACGTTGTTGGGTCCCTGGCCGGTCCGCTGTTCTGTGGCCTTCTCTCCCATTCACCTTTCTTTCTCTGTATATACCTGAAGGCGGCATTGGTTCTTCGCACCAGGCAGTTTCATGTGGCCGGACCCTGTTAGAGAAGTGACAACCCCTCGGAACACGTCGACGGCCGGAATCAATTGACCCAAGACGGCAAACACGACGCCCGCCAACAAGCCAGGCACGCGATCACCCCGACGCGCCTCCCGACTTTGACGGCGCACCACTGCCCTCTTGCCTTGTCCCCGACGCACCTGTGAAGCCTCCCCACCCGATCAATCTCCCCGAATCTGGTCTGCGGGCAGCACCATGGTGGACGCTCAGGATGCCGGGAGTAAACTATTCTCCAAGAGCCGCTGGAAGACCAAGATCTTCGAGAAGACCAACGAATTTGCCGCCGCCTCACAGCCCAAGCCCAAGCCGCCCTCGGACGACCACGACATCAACGACTTCCTCAAGCCTTCGACCGACCGCGCCGCCCAGCAGCAAAAGGACGCCGCCGCCGCCGCTGCTGCCGCCGCCTCGGCCTTCACCCGACCCCGCATAGATGTCGCGAGCGCCCAGCGATGGCCTGGCGCACAGGCGATATTGGCCAGCGCCGCCGCCGCCGGAAGAAGCCCAGGCCCGGGAGGTCTGAAGACAGGCACGCGCAAGAAGGGCCTCACCGTGAGTTTTGTGCGCACAGTCCCCGAAGTCATAGGCCATGGCGGAGACGAGTGTGAAGACGTCGTGCTGGAAGTTGCCAAGAACAAGAAGGCAGCAAGCGTGCCCGAAGCGGACAAACTGCCGTCCCAGGTACCGCAAGACGACGCGAATCTGGGAGCGCGCAGCAATGGCATAGGCAGGACGCCCTCGCAGACCGAGTACAGGACCAACCTCACGAGAACGCGCACAAACCCCGGCGAACTATCCCCACCGCTCGGCCAGAAGATGCAGATGGGCCAGATCAACACGCACGCCCAACTGCCACCAACACCGCCGCGTTACATGGGCTCCATGGGGCTTGGGGAGCGCCCAAAGGCGCTCTCCAGGGCACCGACTGGCTTTGACGGTATTCCAGAGCCTACAGCGGCTCTCTCTGCAAGGCGACCCAGCGAAGACTCTGTCTACTCCCAGGATTCGGACAACCTCTCGCCAGTCATGTCGCGGACCATGTCAGTACGGGAGCCTACGATCCAAGAAGAAGACGATTTCCAACCAAAACCGCTCAAACGCACGCAGACTGGCTTCAGCACCATGGAGGGAGATGCTGGACACGAGCCTGTGCATGCGATACCTTCAGTGCCTAAGCTGCCAGAGAGACAATTGCCTGAGCAGGACGATGACGAGTCACTCTCGTTCGCGGAAAAAGTGCGGCGAAAGATGCGATCGGAAGAGGGCAGGACATTGCACGAAGCGTCACAACGAGCAGCCTCGGGTCAAAGGCGAGACTCCGAGACAAGCTCCCAGCAGTCTATCGTCGGTACACCTCCATCCTCATACCACACACCCGCCGCAGCAAGAACACCACTGGAAACCCCACAATCCGAATCCAGGACATCACCCCCCGGGACCTTGAATACCGAAGACCCTCAACGATCTAGAGCACGTGGGCCCTCTCCAGGACGACCAGGAGCACAATCACCGCCATCTCAATACACTGCATTTTCCCCTTCACAAGCACGTGCTTCCCCTGCTGTGCGATCAGACCCGTTCGTTGATACTACTATAAAACGAGTGCCCTCAAATAAGGAGAATGCTATTTTCGGGGCTCTTGACGACAGCCCAAACCTCCCAACTCCGCCCCAATTTCCCCAGGGTGCATCCTATTTTTCAGCACAACCTCAGCAACCACCCTCTTCGCTCCCGCAGTCTCTACAACCCTCTCCACTACCCCAGACTCTCGCAGTGTCAGCGCCTCCAAGCCAGTTACCGTCGCGAAATGCTTCGGGTGCCAGCGCCAAACCGGCGGCCCCTCTAGCTCGCTCGGATACGAAGTCAGCAAACGAGTTTGCATACCGGGATTTTGCCGAGCGCATCACACATATGAGAGGTATTTTCCAGCTGACAGCTCAGCTTGGAGGCAACGTTAACAACCACACGCCGATGCAATGGCTCCGGGTCGCTACGTGGTGGTTTCTCAAAGGACGCACAGGGATGGAGAACTTGATAAGGAGTCAGCCTAAGACTGCCGAACCGATCCAAGAGCGACTCGCTCAACCGCATGTCGACTTGGCCAAGGTGTGGTGGATCATTTCTGAAGTGCTTCCGAACCACCCCAGCTTACAGGGATATGGCAACGCCTCTCCCGATGCACAGGTTGATCTTGCAAGAAAAGCTGGAGACGCTGCGAGCGCGGAGGTGTTCGACATTCAGAATGCGATTGCCCACTACCTGAAGCTGCTCGTGGGATCGATGAAGAAGCACCAGAGCATGCCTCCGACCCAAGCACTCATCCAAGGACAAGACCAAAAAATATGGGAGGAATATCCCACGTTCCCTGCAGATGCGGCGAGTGTATTGACTTCCGGGCTTCCTGCACCCAACGGCAGCCAGTCGCAGTTTAGCCTGTCACAGTACATACCTCTTTCCGACACCAAGACTGACTTCTGCTACTTTCGCATGTTTGTAAAGGCCTCTGTGTCGACCGACAACCCTGCGACAGATCGTGTTCCTATGGATGCCGTTGTCTCTGTCATGCGATCCAAGGAAGAATACCAGGTCAAATTGGCCATCTGCAGCCAGAACAGTCTGATCAATCTCCTAGTCGGCTCAGGATCGGTGCTTACATGGAAAGACGTCCAATGGAAGCAACAGTCATCACAACTTACTGTCCAGCTACGACATGGATTTGTACTCACTATGGCGCTACATGAGAGTGACTTCCGCAGCCTCTGGTCTATTGTCAACCACACAAACAGGACAGAGTCTGATTTACGAGAACGGAGAGACGAGCGTTTTGCCTGTAAGATGTATTTGAAAGAGGCGAGTTACAGGGACCCTGCAAAGCCATCAGCGTTCCCAGCTGAGCGCGTATCAGGCTGCAAGCTCATGGTCTTCCAAAGGATTGAACGCAGTAGTGAAGGCACAGGCAAGCGAAAATTGCACAGAGGCTACCGTATGGTTCTCGTCACGCCGCAGCAGACTAAGCAAGTCAGCACAATCAACCACGAGCTCGGCACGAAACAGGAGCCCATGAACTTCGAATACGTGACCGAAGCGGATCAAGCCCCTGCGCTGAGATTGCGCTTCCGTGAAGAGGGTGCCGATAAGAGGCTGAGAACATGCACAGCCCATCTTGTTTTCCAGGATGGCAAGGACCGCAACAACCTGTTTGGCACTTTTACCTCCATGAACGTCGCCGAGGGCGAAACTACATTCGCCCAAGTGGCTCTCAAGGCTTTTCACATTGAGAGCGCTGACCAGGCAGAGGGCTTTACGCAGGGTAGTCGTGTGCTTGAGAAACTGCAGTGGGTGGAAGCCAAGGTTATGAACCAGGATCCAGAAGCTGCAGGACTTGAGTCAGCACCCACGGTCATGAGTGAGAGCTTGAGAATCATGTGTAGGCATACTGCTGGTATCGTCTCTGACCGCATGAACTTGGGTATGTTTCGAGTTTGTTTGTTGATCGACATGATTCTGACAGTTTGCAGGACCCGGTGAACTCTTGGTTCGCCTTCCAGTTGACGGAGCTGCCGAACTCACACTCCTCCGTGAGGCTCAGCAAGATATGGCCGTGGCTGTCGACGCCAGCCGTACTGATCCTAATGTTCCCGATGAGCTGGCGAAGCTACTCAAAACTCTTACAAGTGCCTCCACGATCCGACGACTGACCTTCAATTCGTTCAACGATCTTCACACCTTCCAGCTGGCTGTTACTGGCTTTCATGTGAAATTCGACGGGTACGTTCATATTCTGTGCCATGATTCGATATGTACTAACCCTACCTAGTCTCGCAAACTCCTTCTCCATATCCCGCCGTCGTATGGTAGTGCCCATCTACAAGCAATGGACCGCCAACCGCATCCGTCTGCAGATCGTCGAGCAAGACAACATCATCCAGCTTCTCGCCTTCTTTGAAGACTTCTCTCATGCTGATGCCATGAACTTCCAACTCCGCCTCACCGACACTTTCCAGAAGACGGATAAGGGTGGACAATTTGGACTGAAGCTGGTTGACGCAAAGTTCGCGCTGCCTGTAGATGAACGACGCGGCGAGGGCAAGATCCAGAAGGCCGAGGGTAGGGTGACAGGCTGGACAGGCACCAAAAGACGATTTGTTTGTCTCGACGAAATTGAGTATCCGGGCGAGCATGACGATATTCTTATCATGTTTGATTCCGCGGAGAGTAAGTCTTGTCAAAGTCACTGAGGGAAATCTATAACTAATGTTGCAACAGCACGCGATACATTCGCCGAAGCACTCCCTGCTGCGACCATGGAGCGCAAGTTTACTGTTCGAAGGAAGATATAATCCTCTTTTCTTAGTCTTGAAGGCTACATACCCCACAACAACATTCCCTTTGTTATAACAGAGCAAGAAGCTCACTGGAGATCTTCTTTCTCTTTCTCATACTCCGTATATTCTGGACTGGAAGACAGGCGCTTCTTTTTTCTCACTTCTGGGCGTTTAGGTGCAACTCAAAGTGGCAAGGCATGAGACATCACTATTGGCATGTAGGGAATCATTCTGCAAGGAGTAAGGGCATCAAGATTGATTGCTAGCATTATCGGCATGTTCATTAGCGATTATTTCCATATACCAGACGTTTTCGTCGTCGTCGAATATAGATGTTGATGTTGAGGCAATTGTTTGTATGCGTAAAATTGGTGAATGTTGTCATGAGGTGATTACATAGTATATACAAGCTAAAGTAAAGCAGGTCGTTACTTGATGCTTTCCTGCAATTCAACTCACTCCCGCTTCCCATGTAAACAAACAAGATAGGCTAGCTAAATAGCTAGAAGAGATTAAAAGGGAAAACCGGTTCCCAGCCCAAACCTATCCAGGTATATAGCCAAAATGCAAACAGGTCGTGACGTCGTAAAAGATGGTGGGTATGCGATATATATATGTGTGTGCTGGATGAACGAATAGGGGGAATCCAATTACTGTCAATAGGGAAAACGCGAAGAGTCGGAAATCAAAAAGCTACTGCGAAAATGCGGATCCAGGAGCCACAGGGTCGACGTAATATCTACTTCCGATACTACGTCTAATCTTCTCCCGCCTTTTTTCTGTACGGCGCTCCCTTAGTCTCTCCTTAACGCCAGATATGCCAATGTACTGGACGTGGTATTTCTTCAGACCTGGAAGGCTCTTGCCTTGGCGCCAGGAGCCTCGGCTTCTACGGGACTGTTCGTACTCGTAGGAGACGGTCGACATGTTGTCTGGCACGGAAGCGCTGCGACGGAGGTCGTGGCTAGAACGACGCTTGGTAACGCCACCGCCGCGGTGACGGCCCAGGGGCTGTGTGGGTGCTTGGATAATGACCTTGGGCTCCGCCAAATGGCCAGCTGTGCGTGGGGTTCGGAAGTGTGGTGGAAGAGTGACATGATGACGACGTTTGTTCGTGCCCGCACGTTCAACGCCGAGAGAGTTGCCGATGAGGAAGCCGCCTGAGCCACGGAAACCGCCCTTCAGCTTGTTGCCGAGAGTGCTGGCACGCCGTGGTCGTGGTGGCTCCGGCTCCGGCTCTGGATCTTCAATGTCGCTGGTGTCGCCACCCTGGGGCAGGCCTTCTTCCTCGTCGCTCTCTGAGTCACCGTCTTCAAAGCCGTCCCAGAAACCGCGCGGGCGCCAGAAAGGATGAAGTGTGCCATCTTCGTCATTGACACTGGGGACTGAGGGATTTCGGTGAGTGTGTCCGTGAGACTCACTAGCGTATCGGGTTCGGTTGTTTGAAGCGCGAGCGAAAAGCGGTGTGATGAGATTGTCAGAGTACCGCCGAGCTCGCTGCAAAACAGATAGTCGCCGTTGGGGGTGGGAATCAGATCGCTCAGGAGGTCCTGGTGGCCCAGGTACCAGCTCCTTCTCGAGCTCTTCCATGGGTGTAGGAGGAATGAAGTTGATTTTAGGTGGCACTGGCGGGTCTCGAGGGTTTTCAAGAGGCGAGTCTACGCCGTCGGGCTGGGGGAGGTCAGACTGCATCGGAGGGGTTGAGGGCTCAAAGGTCAAAGTTGGCTGGGGGTATGGTTCATCAGTCTCTTCGCGAGCCTCCTGAGGTGCTTCGTCTGCATCCACAAACGGCGGTGTAGGTGTTGCCCGCACCTCTCGGACGTCCTGTAGTTGACGCTGCTCTGGCAACAGGGAGTTTCCACGCGATTGCTGCACAACGAGCAGAGAGTTGTTGTTGTGGGGATAGATGCTCACAGCAGTTGCCTCGGTGACTTCGACTGTATCGGAGAACTGGGAGAATGGCGTCGATTGAGAGTACAGGTGGCGGGCATTAGCATGCTCTTCAGTCCGAGAAGCAGATCGCGAAGCGGATCGATCGAAACTAACGCGGCCGTGGTCTCCAGAGTCAGGTCGCGATGCCTGGCTGCGGCGTTTCATCTCTGGTGTGTATACACGATCGTCTACGACGGGCCGGACAGCCGCGTCAGGAGACAAGGAAGCGCTCTCCTGGTGTAGAGATGCCCGCTTCGCCCATGAAGTTGGCCTTGATGGTTGACGCTGAGGCTCACTATCTTTCAACGGCGAGAACTTCTCTAGATTCTCGGATGTAGCAGGGTTCTGCTTTGCATCAACGACGAGGGTAGCTTCCTCTGCAGTCTCACGAGCCGCAAGTAGGCGTCTGACTCTGTCTGTCAGCGCAGACGGCACACGAGCGTCTTCGACAGGATGACTCGCTCCCATGAAGACATCGCGTTCGGCTGGTCCATCTACACCCTGGTCAGGAAGATCGGACAGGGTCTTGTCGAGACCGCCTGGGAGTTTCACATCAGTGACCACTGGTTCTTGTCGTCGACCTTTCCGCGACGTCGGTGATGCTCGGCGTGGCTTCGGTGAAAGGGTTGGCGATGGTGCTCGCTCCACAGGCGGTTGTGTAGTTTCAATCGGCCTTGGACTTTCGGACGGCAGGATCTCTGTAAAGTTCCTTGGTTTCGAAGACAGCGTTCGTCTTGTGGGTTCAGGTGCTGAGTTTACTCGTTTGTGGTAACTGCCACCTGATCGGGCAATTGTGCTGTGTCGACTCAGTATGTCCGCGGCAGGTTGTAGCACGTTCCGTAAGGATTCCTGATGAGCCTGTGTATGCGCCGAGCTATCGATAGTCCTCGATCGCAACGACAGAGACGGAGACATGATGCGCTGAGAACTGACATCGGAGTCAGTGCTAAACCTCGCGCTCCTGTCGGCAATGTTGGTCCTCTTGTGCACTAGGCGACGAGGCGGCACGTCGTCGTACTGGGAAATGACCGAATTGCGATTTGAGTAGGCTCCGGATCCAAGCTCCGAAGGCGCGCTGATGTCTCTTCTGTATGCCATGTTCCGTCCTGAGTGTCGTAGTGTTTGTGTTCTTCGCGGCGGAGTGATGATAACATGGGCCGATACTACTGTCGAAGCCACTGACGCTGTCGAGAGTCGCTTGTTGGTTGAATCGCGATGCTTCCCAGCCGACATGCCTTCGCCCTCCGAGGGCCACCCTATGGAATGCGCAAAGTTCTCGATGGACGGCGTAACGGGACTGTTGTGGCTGGCCTCGACGCGTTCGCGCAGACTGGAAGCGCGTCGCGCTCTGTTGCTTGGAGTTGGGGAGGCGGCTTCGACGATGGTGACGGCAGGGGCGGATTCGGCAATGGGTTCTGCGACGGGCGCGACAGGCTTTGCGACGGGTTCTGGGGCGGATACTTTGCGAGGAGAATTGTAGTCGGGTCTGCGTTTTCTGCGAACCGTTACGTTGCGCATGAGGTCTGTGTTCCACTCCCGATCTGGGATATCCTCGACCACCTGGGGACCCTTGTTTTCCTCAGCACCGACCGTTGAATCCACCTGTTCAGTAGCGGGGAAGTAGGGGCCTTGGATGTTGGTCGGCGTGACATCACTTTGGTCGTGTTCGAATGCCAGGCCCAGTCCTCGGTCTTCCTCGACAGTGCTCAGCCTGTCGTTGGCGGGTGTCACTGATCTGCTGTCGTCGCGATCCGAGGAGAAGGGGTCCTCTCTAGCAGTCTGGAAAGAGTCCGCTCTTGAGGAGGGATATGTGTATATGGGCGGTCGTTCGAGCGTGGCATTGGTAGCATTGGTAGCGTTGGAAGCATTCGAGGCGTTGGTTCGCGGCGGACTGGGATCGGGCGTGGGAGGACTGCGCGCATTGACTGGAGTGCTGAGGGACGACTTTTGTGAAATGAGCGAGTTGCGTACGCTGTCGGCAAGTGGCAGTTGCTCGGGCATTTGGGTGGAGGATCCGTCCTGGGAAGCTGTGGGCGGCGTGGGCGGGAGGCCGCTGTCTGCTCCCTTGAGCAGGCCGGGCGAGGGGAGCGGCGTGTTGTGGTCGCTTTCGATGGTCGACTCGGTGTCATCGGTAGCTTGTGTGGTGTATGAATAGTCTCGTTTCAGGGGCGCTGCAGCTCTCGAGTAGGTGCGGTAGTCGTCGGTGCGGAGCGGCAGGCGCTTCGTCTGGCGTAGGTTCGGGGAGGGTTGGAAAGACGACTCGAGCATGGCATAGACGTCGGGCTCAGGTTGGGACATGGTAGCCAGGCGCCTCATAGCGAGGGCGCACTCGAAACCCTAATCCTCCTTTGCCGTCCCTGTCGCTGCTGGCCCGTGTACCGCTGCAAGGTGGCTCTTCTGTCGTTGTTAGGAAGAAGCCATGACCCGCGAGCGCAAGACGGCCGTGTTCTTCTACATGCGACGCTGCTGTCGCTGTGCCCACGTCGCAGCACTCGAGACGTATGCAGGCTGCCGTCGGTGCAGGGCGCTGGGTGGTGGTGACGCAGGTAGCCTCGGGATGGCCGTGCCAAGCCAGCCGTTCACGATGCGATTAAGCGGACGCACGATGGACAGGACAATTTGCGACGGCGGCAGACCCGGCGAAGGAGACTCGGGGGTGGGCACGGTATGGCGAGTGAGGCGGAATTTGGAGACGGGACGTTGGTGTGCGGAAGGAGCAGGTCACTGCGCAATAATCGATGCGCGCGCCGAATTGGTGGCTTTCCAAGCTTCGGCGGTGATAGCGGCCGGGGGTCCAGATGGCCTCAGTGATCGCGTCGGTTTTTGGGCGACTGTGTTAGGGGAACAGAAAAACAGGTGCCGTGGTGGCGATTGTGTGTTTAGAAAAGCAACAATTATTACTACTACCACCGACATTACCATGCGAAGCCGCTGTGGTTGGAGACGGCCATGTCAGCTAACGCTTCACCATGATCTCATTCGCCTTATCGCAGGGATTTGTGCCAGCAATCGCGCCAGTCATCCCGCCCAACACGCTGCTTTTCTGCACCACAGCCCTCTCTCGTCCCAACCTGCGTCTACGG